TCTCTGTGTCCTGTTAGATCTTTGATGACTGACCATCTAACAAAGATTTCATTTCCCTCTATATGCTTAGAGAAGTATAGTTATAATCTCTTTAAAAACATCTAATACAGTATTCACAAATAGAGAAATGATTTATGTAAGTAGTCTTCTCTTATTTGTTACAATTTTGCCAAGATGTTATAGTATAAACTTGACTATTTATTCTACATAAAATATCAAAAAATTAAGATTTTCTCCCCAAGTAATTTATGTATCTGCAATATCATGTTAGCTATGATACTATTAAAATTTGGAATTAAATACTTTTTGAAGGATAAAATAACTGTGGGCAAAGCTACCTAAAATTTACTGCTTTCAAAGAGAGTTAACATCAATAAGAAGCAGTCTTTACCAAAGTGGGAGTTTCACAGCTTAAATCTGAAAAGGAACTGTCAAACATTTTTTACTCTCTTGGATACAGTATAAATTAGTTAAGACATAATTACAACTAATAATTGTTACTATTACTATAGTGGCTTCATTTATAAATATTACTTCTTCCCTAATTAAATGAAGCATTCACTTCTTCACATAAGCAATTAAAATATTATGTAGTTATATTATGCATCTCAAAATGTGAAAACCAAGAATAATAAGCCAGATAATACAAAAGAAAAACAGTGATATGAAATGAGCTAAGGCAAAAACAAGCAAGGTGAAACACATTTAAACCAAAACTTTTCTGAAAAATTGAGATATCCAAGAGGTCAATCAAGCATGTACACAGAATCAGGTGGTATCAAATCTAACAGCCAAATATAGGGTAGCCCAGTCTAACAACCAGATGATAGAGTGGATTGACTGATTCAAGTTTAGAGAGAGCAGAGATATACTTGAGAGCACTTTTTCGGGACTAAGTTGTAACTTTCAAGGTGAAGAAGTAATCATGAGACTAGAACCCTGTGTAAGGCAGGTATGGGAGACACATAAATAAAGCTGAGTGGCAAAATATCACCATGGTACACACAACATCCTATTCTACCTGTATCATTTAAGGTACCAGAAGATAAACATCTGCAACCTATTAAGAAAGCAAGAAACAAACCCGGAAATAAAATAAAAGGCTAGAAGGAAGGCTATATCCAGTGTCTGGGGTATTTGTGAGATAAAACAGGATAATACCTCACTTCATTTCTGGAAAGTCTAAATCCAATTACTTAAAAAAAAAACTCACTATAGACAATATTAACAAATATTTATCTTTCTTCTTTTTGAAATCACTCTTCCTTAACCCTCTGTCATCTAGTTAACAGTAAAACATTTCTTTGAAAGGTCACTAAAAATCTAATAAGTACTACATTAATAGGCATGTCTTCATCCTCAAGTTTTTTACCTGTACCATGATATTACACATCACCTCTTTTTGACAATTTTACTTTGGTTCTACAACATTGTACTATCTTAATCTTCACCTAATCCCTTCAAGCGTTTTTGTTTCCTTTGGTTTCTTCATTTACCAATATATTTTCCATAGGTATTTAATTATAAAGTGTAACAAAGTCTAAAGTGATTTTAGTGCCTCTGACATCTTTTTCAACAAGCCAAGGACCTTAATACACACTTCTAGGTTAGTTTTTTTCCCCTCAGCATTTAGAATATATGATTCTATTCTCCATGACACTTGTGATTTTAATTTTTGAGATGTCTGGAATTGTCCATCATAAGCTAGGTACTGTCAGAGACTTCAACTCAAAGTCAGACCGCCCAGCATAAATCAATAAAAAGATGATAATGGTACATCTGAAATATCAAGCACCAGAGGGTATAAGCCTACATGAACAGGCAGCTCAGACACGCATGCCATTCAACAAGGTTGCCCCAAAACATCTCTCTCACTTCACTCCAATGGTTATGAAGGAATTACTGTATGGCCAGCTGAGGGAGGAGGAAAAATCCTGAGCTTTTATGGCAAGATTATGGATAAACTGGCTTGGTATGCAGGTACCAGTCAAAAATAAGAAGCAGCTGTGTAACAACATCACTCATAAAGTCATTGAATAACACCGGAGAAGAAAAATTTCCCCAAAAAGTGAAGCTCTGAGCAGTACACCTAGAGATCCACTTTATATGAAGTTCTATACATTCCTTATGGCTGAAAGGTATAAAAGTCAGCTTTAAATTCTCTTTCTCATTTATTCTTATCAGTCTTAGTTTTAACATAACATAAAACTTAGTCAAGCCGCTTATGCAAAAGAAAAAGGTGGTGGGGGATTTTTGTGATAAGGATACAAGAATATTTTATAGAACTCCAAGGCAGGAATGAAACCAGGCCTATTGAAAAATTCTTAAAGAAGAGACTGAAATTGCATCTAGACTATTTCTCTATCTCATCTTTGATCCTCTTGGAAAGTATTATTGTCTCTCCCTTCTCTCTCTCTTTCTCACCACCTCCTCTACACTATTTCTATTCCTCTAGTAGAAAAAAGGCCAATCTATATCTCCCAAGGTTTTATATAAATATACATACGAGTGTATGTCACAGCTCTGTCAACTGAGAGACCAATTTTTTTAATTTGGTGTAATTATAGATTCTCATGTCAAAAATTCCAACTGGTTCAACTGGAAGTAGGTACCTATTCTTGGTACAATCAACTTGGTAGAGTCACCTTATTCAAAATAGTTGCTAGGGGCTCAGTCTTGACTGAGGGAGAACTTAGTTACTATGAGCTCAACAAATAGCTAGGATCCAATATCCTCTTCATTCATTCTCCCAATCATTCCAGCTGAAAAACCTCCTAAGTCAGTTTAGGCTTAGCCTTCTCTTTCATATACTATTAATATATAATTCTGTCACAAAGAATTAATTCATTCTTCTTTCAAAATACAGTATTATCTATTCCTTCTCTATTCTCACAGACTTTATTACTTGCCAAAATGATAATTCAAAAAGATATTAAACTGTAGTTAAATTTGCATTTCTTAAACTACTGGTGAAGATAAACTAATTTTTTTCATCTCATAGATTGTTATTATTTGTTTTCTTGGTCTGTATTGTGAACTTTATTGTGTCTCCCAAAATTCGTATGTTGGAGTGCTAACTCCAATGTGACTGTATTTGGAACAGGGCTTTTAAGGAGGTAATTAAGGTTAAATGGAAGTCATAAAGGTGAAGCTTTAGGAAGAGACATCGGGGTGGTGTGCACAGAGGCAAGGCTATGTGAAGACATAGCAAGAAAGTAGCTGTCAGCAAGCAAACGCGAAAGGCCTTGGGGGAAACGAAACCTGCTGACACCTTAATCTTGGACTTCTAGCCCCCAGAACCGTGAGAAAATACATTTGTCCTATTTAAGTTTCAAAGTTTTTGATGCTTAAAGACCTTTGTTATGGCAGCAATGGTAATCTAATACGGTTTGCCTCAGTGTTCATTATCTATTTTTCTTTTGAGATGTTTATTTCTTCTAGTAACAGCTCTCCAAGCATTAAGACTCTTAGCCCTTTATACACAGTAAACATTAACAAATATTTTTAGCAATTTATATGCCCCCACACCTTTGTTTGGTTTCATTTTGCTTTGAATATCTGATATTTTTTAAATATAGTCCAGTTTTCCAAACTTTTCCTTTATGGTTGCTGCATTTGAAATTATGGTTAAGTCCAGCCTTCCTATCAGCCAGAATATTTATATTTATATATACGTTCATCCAACTATTCTTTTTGGTCTCATTTGAATTATTTTCAATGTATGATGTAAGATATAATTTTTTTAAAATATAGCTTACCATTATCTTTGTACCATTTAATCACTTTTCCACTGATATGAAATGTTATCATATACTAAATACACTTTGACATTTATTCATTCAGTAATTTATTTTGGAGGCTATATTCTTCCACATTTATCGTAAAGATAATTTTTCACCAAGTTTAAGAAACATTATTTTGGGTGTCTTAAATCATAAAAGACTATGAGGGAAATTTCTTAACATTAGTTTTTAAATTAAAATTGTTTTCAGCTAACAATAAACAAAATGAATATACACAAAATTATGTTAATCCAGTGATGAGCCTAATTAAAGGAGGGGGTACCATCTGATTTAGTTGAATCACACTAATCAAAAAGAACAGAAAAAACAATGGTGAAGAAACTACAAGAGGACTGTCAGCTTTTTCAGGCTCCTTTTAAAAGAACAGCTCTTGTCCTTCTAAAACTATTCAAAATTCTTTTTCCCCCTCGATTCGCTTGATAAAATTCAGATAGTAAAGGCCTATAATTCAGTGGGGCTATTTTTACAAAGATCATTGCTTAGTGCCAGGAGAGTATCCAGAAGAAAGGAAGTTGAGGATTGTGTTCTGAGGTTCTCTCAAGAAAGGGGCACAGAGAAGCTCCCAGTTACACAGGCCGAGCAATGTCCATGTTGGACGTGCTTTGATACCACCTAAATCTCTCCTGTCCGAGTTCAAAGCCGGAACCATTCCAGGGTTTTTAGACCAAAAAAAAAAAATGGGGCTACATGAAAACGATGCCAAAGCCACAGCTATTATTACAAACATGCATTATTTTCACTCTTGCTTTCCATATGCAATGCACTCTACATACAGTGGGCACCGTATAAGCACATAGCAAATGTGAAAAATATTATCAACATTGCTTTAGGGAAGATGAAACTGAGATACGAGGAATCATAAACTGTCCAACATCACAGGGGCAAAAAGTTCACCTCAACAGAAGCCTCTCACGAACCACAAAAACGTAGCTGAGGAAGCCTAGAAAGGCTGTACCCCAAGCGGGGACGGTAAAGTCAAAAAACACAAGGGTGGGGTAATCACAGACCCGGGACAGAGAAATCTAAAAGCCCACTCGACCTCACTACTGCTATCGAACTTCCTCTGAGGTGCAGAGGCGCGGATGCGACACCCAGAAGTTGCGAGAAAGGGCAGAGCTAACTGATAAGGCCAGAGAAAGCCCGCTAAGATTTTTTGAAGGCCGTAAGGTAAACATGTTAAAAACTATAACTACTCACTCTGCCTACACCTAGTGAAAAAGATGCGGCAAGATGAACAGGGCGTAGCTAGCGCCCGCCAGAAGCTCCGCGGCCTCCACACCCGTCCCAGCATACTTTGCGTCGCGCAGAGGCAAGCCCTGGCGCGCATTGGCCCCTTCGGCTGCCGTCTGCCGGTAGTTACTATGGAAACTCAGTGGCCATCGCTATGTCTCTGCAAAAGACCCCTCCGACCCGGGTGTTCGTGGAACTGGTTCCCTGGGCTGATCGAGGCCGGGAGAACAATCTGATCTCAGGCGGAGTGACGCAACCGGGCCTCCACCACCCCGTCTCCTCAACACAAGCACAAACTGCGACCCGCGAGGTGCACGTAAGCGGCACCTCAGAAGTGTCTGCGGGCCCCGATCGGGCTCAGGTGGCGGTGCGAGTGAGCAGCACCAAGGAGGTGGCGGCCGAGGCCAAAAAGAGCGTTTGTCGCCGTCTAGATTACATCACACAGAGCCTCCAGCAGCAGGGCGTGCAGGTGAGATTTCCGTGGGGGAGGAAATACGAGCCAGACGACACAAAAGGCTTGGCAGATGGCCGGGCCCGATGGGCCCCTCAAGCGGGAAGGGAGATGTGGAGGGTCTGGAGCGTTTAGGACGCCTTTGTCGCAAAGGTATTTCGGGACGCCAGAACCTGGAAGAGTGAATATTTGACCCATTCTTCTGGATGAAGGTAATTATTGGCCACAGGGAAATTAAAAGAATGCAAATTGGGTAGGTTTTTATCTGGCGATATTTGCTTCAGTGATTTTGTTTTTAAATTTGAAGTGATTAAATGTTAAAACTTGAAATGTTAGTTGTAATACTGCCCAAGTGGAGTGCTGGACACTAAATATTTTGTTTTGTTTTTATTCTGCACCATGGAATTGGCAAGTGAAGAGCATGACCTGCTTCCTTCCAGTCTTGTAAAACTGCATGGAATGACTCTTGAGTATGTTCCGCAAACAGTAACGTTGGGAAGTGGGAAAGAAGTTGCGTCCATTTTCATTTTATAATGATTTCCCCAAAATTTCTCTGGCCTTTTTAGATTTAACTTTTAAAAAAAGTCAAGCCAGTATTGTAGATGCCACATATATGAAATATTTCTACTTAGTTAGCAGAGATGTGCATGAGTCAAATCACTAAACAAATCTTACCTTAACTCTACTTCTGAGGAAAGAAGAAAAAAAAAAGCCATCATTTAATCCACACAATAGCACTTTTAGGCATGTTTTAATATCCCTATTTTCCAAATTTAAAGAGGTTAAACAATGCTCTGAACTTTAGTTAGAGCAATATTTGAACTCATGTATTCCTGAAACCAGAATGTAAGTTGCTTCCAATTCTGCCAGACTCCAGATAATTAGAATGAAAAAAAAAAAGTTAGAAATCATAAAGGTCTGCTAGTTCAGTTTTCTCATTTTACAGAGTGGGACCCCAAAGGTCAGAGTTGTGACTTATCCTAGATGACACTGAGCTGGTAAAAGTGCAGACATTGTTTCTTTCAGTTTATTGCAAGAAATGTCTTACCCCAAAAAAGCAAGTCCTTATTTTTAATAAGAAAAGATAGTTGCACTCCATTTATAATACAAACATATGAGTTATTACAAAGTCATTTAGACAAGATTTCTTCAAATGATTTTACCAATTTAGAAAAATTCCAATAATTATGAGTAAAATGGGTTTGATATGTAGAAAAATAGTTCTGAAAAACTGCTACTAGTGCTGTCGTCCTGTTTGAATAATATAGCAAGTTTTTAAGTTATTTACACAAAATAAAAATTGAGCTCACAAGGCTCTGATTTATATAAAACAACGCAAGCTGGGCACTGTGACTCAACACCTGTAATGCCAACACTTTGGGAGGCCAAGGCACGTGGATCACTTGAGGCCAGGAGTTCAAAACCAGCCTGGCCAACATGGCAAAACCCCATCTCTACTAAAAATACGGAAACTAGTTGGGCATGGTGGCACACTCCTGTAATCCCAGCTACTAGGGTGACTGAGGCAGGAGAATCTCTTGAACCCAGGAGGCGAAGGTTGCAGTGAGCCAAGATGGTGCCACTGCACTCCAGCTTGGGCAACAGAGAGAGAGACTGTCTCAAATAAACAAGTAAATAAATTACTAAGTCCCACTTACAGTAATTACATTAAGATTCAATGTTAAGGGAAGACATAGGAAGGATAGCAACTTCCTGATTATCTCTGCTAATGGATCAAAGCAGTCATGTAGATAATTTGTTCAGTAGATAATACAAAATATCACTTATATTTTCAGGATGAATTATGGGTCTTCACGAAGTCCTTATTCATTTTAAACTTTGGAATCCTGAGTTGTAAGGTTTATAAACATCACTTCCCTGCTTAAAGGGCTCCTCATAATCCAGACTCCTTTGCTTAAAAGATGGAGCCTCACTCTCTATCCTCATTTCCTATCATCTCCCTCACCTCTGTTGTATTCTTCTTTAAGCATTAGCCCGAGCCTGAGCTATGGAAATAAGACCCTGTCTCAAAAAAACAGAATTAGCCCAAATTCACCTTCTTGGCATTCCTTTCCTAATATAACACTAACCCCTCCCAAACAACACTTCACTCCCTATACTTGTAATAAAAACTTATCATCATTCTTAATTTGCTTGTCTCTTCTCCATATTTCTAAACTTTTCCAGAGCCAAGACCATTTGTTCTTTTTTTGCATTCATGAGTTATGTTTTAAATACATCACATAACATATACTCAGAAAATGCCTTCTGAATGAATATTTTTAAAAAATGAAACACTAAGTGAACAAAGTATTCAGCTATGTTATAGATCATAGATTTATGAACTTGTCTGAAGGTATAATCTTTACTTCTAGTGTAGTTTTCATTGAAAAGTGTTTAAAGTTCTAAGCAGTATTTACTCATTCAGCAAACAAACATTAAGCATTTCATTTTTTTTTTTTTTTTTTTGAGATGGAGTTTCACTTTTATCACCCAGGCTGGAGTGCAATGGCACGTTCTAGGCTCACTGCAACCTCCGCCTCCTGGGTTCAAGCAATTCTCCTGCCTCAGCCTCCCGGTAGCTGGGATTACAGGTACCTGCAACCACGCCCAGCTAATTTTTGTATTTTTAGTAGAGACAGGATTTCACCATGTTGGCCAGGCTCTTCTCAAACCTCTGACCTCAAGTGATCCACCCACCTCGGCTTCCCAAACTGCTGGGATTCTGTACATGCATGAGCCACTATGCCCAGCCCATTGTTCATTTTCAAGCAGCACTTAATATTGTCTTAATTTTTTTGGTCTGCTATAATGAAAAATCATAGAGTTGGGGAGCTTATAAACAACAGAAATTTATGTCTTACAGTCCTGGAAGCTGGGCATCCAAGATCAAGGAGCTACTAGATTTGGTATATAGTGAATGGTAGCAAGAATTACCCTGATAGCTCTGCTTCCCCTTTATTTGCTTCTCTCTCCTACTCTAGGCATAAAATGACCTCACAATGTCTGGTCCTCCCTTCACAAAAGTGTTTCCATCACTCAGGATGCATATCTAAGTTCTAGTGCAAAAGAGGACTATGAGTATATGCTGAAGGGACTGTTTAACTGCTTTAACACGTTACAGTATGAGCAACACTAATGTAAGATTCCTCTAACAGAGTGTAGCTAAAAGAGAGACCCTTTTCTCCTTTTTGCTTCACAAAAGACCACCTCAGCCACCATGACACCACCAGCAGGAGGTATTGTCCACAGGAGCAGCAGAAGAGAACTTACCTTATATCATGAGATATCAAGACATAAGTTCTTGCAATGGACTACATGTTTGTGTCCCCACAAAACTTGTATGTTAAAACCTAATCCCAAGTATGATGGTATTCATAGGTGAGGCTTTTAGGAGGTAATTGGGATGTGAGGATAGGGCTGTTTATAGATGAGAACTCCCAGGACCAGAGTGATTATTGGCAGGTTGCTTGCCCACGGTCACACTGGGAAGTGGCAAAATTTTAACCTTAGGGTCCATGCTCTTAACCACTACAAGATGTTGCTTCTGTATTCTCTTGACAGTGGATAACGGAGGTTTTAGGTAGGGAAGATGTAGCTGATGCAATTGATACCACTACTTACATCCTTTGGCACTTCACATTTTTGTGCATGCAGGCCCAGCTTCCATCTGCCAACATTTGTAAATTCTTTGCCTGAAAGTGAAAGCTCTCCCTGGCTACAAGAATCCACTCTGTCTGCAAATGGGGCCAGAGTGTAATGCCAGGGAGTTAAAGTCCTCTCCCCCAGCCCCAGCAGCCTTCATCTGAAGGCTAATGTGGAACTAGAATGACTGAGGGAACGAATGGAAAGATAACCCAGCATCTTCACCTCTTGGGGTAGGATAATTCTGAGGTATGTGTTCCACCCTGGTTCCTAGAATTTCTCTGCAGGATTAAATTTGAGTTGAGAACAGCAGTAATTTGCTTGACAACACATCTTTTAGTGTCTTTCTTTTCTGTCTTGCATACCACTCTGTTAATGGTGTTTTTTGGAATCATCAAAATTAACTGTATGCAAATCTTTTTCTTAGGATCTGTTTCTAGGGGCACCAAGGTTAAGATAAGAAGTAGGGCAACAAATTGAACATAGGCATGGCTACAGTTTTTCATTATTAAAAATGGTCACAACATGAATGTCCTTGTAAGCTACATATTTATACATGTCCTTAATTACAGGTTGAGTAGCCCTTATCCAAAATGCTTTACCAGAAACATTTTCGATTTCGGAAGTTGTGGATTTTGGAATATTTACATTTTATATATGCCAGTGGAGTATTTGTACTCTGGAAATCGAAAATTCAAAATGTTCCAGTTTTCCGTGAGTGTCATGTTGGCACTCAAAAACTTTCGGATTTTGGAGATTTTGGATTTTCGGATTAGGAATCCTCAACTGGTAATGTTCTTTGAACATTAAATCCTGGATTATGTATATTTGAAGGCTTATGAAAATTATACTCTAAAAACATATGTTTATATCTTCATTTGGCACAGTAGGCATTATTCTGTAATTTTGTCAACTTAGTAGTTCAAAAAATGATACTGTCATTTCTTTTTTCTTCATCATTTGAACTTTTTGAATATAAACTTCTAGTTCAAAATATTTTGCCCATTTTTCTATTGTCTTTACCTTATTAAAATTATAAGAACCTTAAAAATTAAGATTAC